ATTCAGTATAGGGAAATATAGTCACATATCCCAATTGAATCAGCATAGAGTTAAGGGTGAAAACAGAACAATCTGATCATATTGCAAAAAGGAATAGAAGTGATTCACATACTGTTGCAAAGACATATGAGGTCTGTGTATGCTTCTGGTACCTTAAACACAGGGGAAGGAAATTTTCCACACTGCCTGAGATACCAAGAACAGATTTCTGAAGCAGATAAAACTAGATGTTTTGAAGATCTAAATACATAGATGCTAACGTTAACAAGGCTGGCAATGTGGTATGTGGTTTTGTCCTTTGTCCATAAGATGGCAGTAAAACCCTTGCTGTTAGAAATAAAATGCAGGACAATGTAGCACTTTACAGACTAACAAGATGGTTAATTAGATGATGAGCTTTCGTGGGCCAAACCCACTTCCTCAGATCAAATAGTGGAAGAAAATAGTCACAACCATATATACCAAATGATACAATTTAAAAAAATGAACACATATGAAAAGGACAAATCACATTTCAGAACAGGAGGGGAATGCGGGGGGAGTGTCTGTGAATTGATGATATTAGAGGTGGGGAGAGTGGGATGTTTGTGAGCTACATTGTCCTGCATTTTGCTTCAGCTACCCCAGACTAACACGGCTACATTTCTATCACTGTTAGAAATAATGCACTATTCAATTGAACTGCTGTTCTGCAATACCTTTGTGACTCATTTCTCTCAGCAGTAAGTTTATCTTCGGCCAAGATATGAATTTTTCCAATTTATGTTATAAAGATTTGCTTTGAGGAAGTGGAATTGTCTAGTGATTAGAACACAGAAGTAGGAGTCTAGAGAGCTGGTGTCTATTTACATTTCTGCCACAGATTTTTGTTTGACCTTGGGTCAGTTGCTATGCCTCAGTTTCCCCATGTTGTTTGCTTATTGTAAATGGTTTAATCTGTTTGCTTTCTGAAAGGCTTCCAAATCAAAATTGGTTTTTATTTTCCAATCAGTTATGACCACAATTAAAAGAAAAAGAGCAGCATCTTTAGTAGAATTAAAGCTTTTTGGTGCTATTCTTATGAGTGCTGGTGTTTTTGTTTCTGAGATCAATCCGTCTCCCTTTATTAATAAAGGGAGGGTATGTCTACACTACCCTCCTATTTCGAAGTAGGAGGGTAATATAGGCATACCGCACTTGCAAATGAAGCCCGGGATTTGAACATGGAATGAGTAGTAATGGTAGTTCGAATTAGGAAACCTAGTTCGAACTACCTAGTTCGTGCCGCGTGTAGCCGCGCGGCACGGGGTTCGAACCAGCCGGGATTTAAAAATGGCGGCGCCCGGCTTATGCAAATGAAGCCCGGGAAATTCAAATCCCGGGCTTCATTTGCAAGTGCGGTATGCCTATATTACCCTCCTACTTCGAAATAGGAGGGTAGTGTAGACATACCCGGAGTGATTATCAAAGGCACTAAAATTCCCATTGAAAGTGAACAGGAGTTAGCCATCTAATTGTCCTTCGTGCCATTGCAAATTTTCCCCACAGTCTGTTTCTCAGCTATGAATTGTGTGATTTTTTTAAAGATGAAATTTTGAGAGGTTTTATAGAATTATTTTAATTCGTGTTCTTGTAAAAATTCAATATTGAAAGCTGACATTTTCTGTTATCCAGCTGCTCATTGTATATCTAATCTAGAAAACAGAGCGGTATGCACTGGCAGTGCATAGATCAGGTAATGAAATGTAAAATCTTTCACCTGTATTGTATGTATCTGGAACCAAACTGGCATTTATGAACAGTCATTGTCACCATTTGGCTCTTAAATAGGGAAGCTACTGTGAAAGGAGTTGGTAGTTCCAGTTCTGTACTTTCTTGACCATGTGTACCCTTACAAACTTACAATGGCATGGCTGTACTACTGTGAGAGTGCTCATTTAGCCATGCTATGCTGACAGAAGAGAGCTATCCCATCGACATAATAAAACCAGCTCAACAAGTGGTGGTAGCTACGTTGGCAGGAGAATGTCTCTCACCAACATAAGTGGTTATGTTGGAAAAATTTGTCACTCAAGAGGGTGGGTTTTTTCACACCCCTGAATAACAAAAATGTTACTGACACTAGTGACACCTTAGCCTTAGTTCATAAGTAGCCACAAAACCACTACTTTTCAATACATTCATTGGAAGCTTCAATGGAGAGCTCAAGGATTGACAGCGGATAGAGACTAAGGCTATGTCTAAATTACAGAGTGTTTTTGGAAAAACAGCCATTTTTCCAAAAAAAATTTCACTTACCTCCACACTGCAATCACATTCTTTTGAAAACAAAATAGAAAGAAAAGTGGGGTTTTTCCGACATTGGTAAACCTCTTTCTAGGAGGAAGAAGCCTTTTTGAGAAAGAGCTTACCTCCACACTGCAATCACATTCTTTTGAAAACAAAATAGAAAGAAAAGTGGGGTTTTTCCGACATTGGTAAACCTCTTTCTAGGAGGAAGAAGCCTTTTTGAGAAAGAGCTCTTTCGGGAAAAGGTGTGTGTGGATGGGGAAGAGGGAGTTCTTTCGAAAGAAGAGGAAAGAAGAAAAAGCACAGGTGCCCTGGTGGCCACTCCATCCATAATAATCACAGCTTACATGTGAGATAGCGTCCATTCAGTGTGGACGCTATCTTTCAAAAAAGCAGATCACTTTTTCGATGTTCTTTGGCAGTGTGGACACTTTCTTTCGGAAGAAGTTTTTTCGGATGATCTCGTCCAGAAAAGCTTCTTTCAAAAGAAGCCTGCAGTCTAGACATAGCCTAAGGCTGTGTCTAGACTACATGGCTCCATCGATGGAGCCATGTAGATTAGGGTTGTAGGCAAAGGCAAATGAAGCCGCGATATAAATGATTGCGGCTTCATTTAAATTTACATGGCTGCCGCGCTGAGCTGACAAACAGCTGATTAGCTGTTTGTCCTCTCAGCGTGCTAGTCTGGACACTCCCCTGCCATGGGATGAGGTTTACCGGGGCTGGCGCTGAGCGGACAAACAGCTGATCAGCTGTTTGTCGGCTCAGCGCAGCAGCCATGTAAATTTAAATGAAGCCGTGATCATTTAAATTGCGGCTTCATTTGCCTTTACCGAAAAAACAAATCTACATGGCTCCGTCAACGGAGCCATGTAGTCTAGACATACCCTAAATGACTCTCTCACTCCGTATACATGTGCCTTTGGCCAAGTGCCCTTCCCAGTACAGTGGTAGAAGACTTCCGTCTTCAGTACTACCAATCTGATATCTTTTAGTATGTGGAAGCATTTCCCATTCCAGTAATAATGTGAATCTCAACCTACAAGAGCCCACTTCTCTCTATAGGTGATCACTAATCCAGTGCTCATACTTTTGATACCCTGATGGCTTTTCAACAGAGGACTCAGTTGAAATGTACCCTATAGAATGAACTGTCTTACATGGAATGAACTAAGACCACCACATGTATAATATGAGAGCAAGACGTATTTGAGTCAGTATCGCAGAGGGGAAAGCCAGAGCCATATTCAGTTAGCTAATGTGCCATTACATGTAAGTTTTTAAGAGCCTCACTGCTAAGTTCCCTTCAGTTATAAAAAGTGCAGACACAGACACACTGCAACATGAGCACTGTAATACTGTCCTTTCAGCTATGCAAAGTTTTTCCAGATCTCTTAGCTAAGAAGCACTGCGCAGAAAAATGTTAAATGTATTAACATATTGCTTCACTAATTTTCTTTTCCCTCTCACTGTGTATAATTAGAATTTTGTTCTCCACCATAACTGTCCATTTTGTCAAAGAGTTGCAGCCAAATGCAGTATTTCCTCAGAATTGTGGTGGCTTAGAGGTGGGGGTTTGCAATACAGTATAAAGGAAGGAATGAGAAAATCCTCAACCCTCAAAAAGAGTTTTAAAGGTTTCTTTCTTATAGCATAGGAGGCATGTGTCTGTCAAACACAGGGCAATATACTGGGTCTGTCAATGAGACTGCTACTCTTTATGTCTCTACCTGTTGGTCATTGTCACTTTTATTGTATACACTGCCATCCACCATGGGCGTAGCCTATTAAATATAATAGGGTATGTCTACACTGCCGCCCTAGTTCGAACTAAGGTGGCTAATGTAGACATTCGAGCTTGCAAATGAAGTCCGGGATTTAAATATCCCGGGCTTCATTTGCATGTTCCCGGGCACCGCCATTTTTAAATGCCCCGTAGTTCGAACTACCTGCGTGCGGCTACACGCGGCACGGACTAGGTAGTTCGAATTAAAGCTCCTAATCCGAACTACCGTTAAACCTCCTTGCAGGAGGAATAATGGTAGTTCGAATTAGGAGCTTTAATTCAAACTACCTAGTCTGTGCTGCGTGTAGCCGTGGGCAGATAGTTCGAACTACGGGGCATTTAAAAATGGCGGCGCCCGGGAACATGCAAATGAAGCCCGGGATATTTAAAACCCGGGCTTCATTTGCTTCAAATGCCTACATTAGCCACCCTAGTTCAAACTAGGGTGGCAGTGTAGACATACCCATAGTAATAGGCAAATCCTGCCCTCTTCCCTGCAGTTCTATAGAGCATTGTCACTAGCAAAACTCCTGTGACTCAGTAGTTTGAGGGAGAAGGTGCTTGAGTGTAGTGTAACAAATCCCCTCCATCAGTGCAAAACCCAGATATTAAGAGCTATGTATTAATAACAAGAATCACTCTGAATGATTATTGAAATCTTTATACAGAGAAACCTATGTTGGGGGTCACTCTTATGTGGCAATTACTTCTCTTAGGAAACTGCCCTGAAGTGTATCTCCAACCCTAAGGAATACAATTTCCCTTCACCTTTATTAGAAGACCGTCAGCCTCCAAGCAACCAATTTTTGTAGGTCTTTTGAGTGAGAGGCTTTGGATGAGCATCCAGCATCTTGGGTGTTAATCTCAACTCCACCTTTCTGGGGAATAATGATTGCCAGCTAGGTTTATGCATGTCTCGTCATTTTATGTTGTTTTTTCCCCCTAGTTTGAAATTAGGCAGTTGAGAGCCCACTTAGCTCAACAAGATTTGGACCTGGCTGCTGAGAGGGAGGCTGCACTGCAAGTACCTCATGTGCTGAGCAAACAGAGCAGCAATAGATACAAGGTTGTGGCAATTGGAGACTCAGATGACGATGAGGCCACTGCAAATATTACTGAGTTACAACCACAAGGAGGTGAGTACTATGTATAGTGCCAATTGCTTCTGCTGTTTCTTTATAGGGAATTGTTGAATTTGCAGAAGAGTTTCATTTTTCAAGTGACTAGATTACATTCCCTGGAGACTGCACTGCCCCATTATTCACAGGTCTGTTTCAAAGTGGGACAGGCATACGGATCTTGGCAAAATGGGGGTTTTGCGCAAAAAGGAAATGTCCATACTGCTGCTTTTTGCGCAAAAACCCCTTGCACAAAAAGAAATGGCAGAAAATATGCTAGTGATGTTGTGACTTATGCTGATGAGTCCCCCATTAGCATATTTTCTGCCAAAAAAACTTGTAGTGTAGCCATAGCCATATAGTAATATTTACAGTGAAACATTCTTTATACGTGTTTTGATAGTAACAAATTAAATATCTTGGGCCAGATTTGTCCCTGGTATCATTAGAGATTTATTTCACCTGTGCAAATAAGCCCAGTTTTTAAAATTGGTCACCGAGAATGAAGCCCCCATTTCTCCAAAACACCGTGGCTGCGTCTACACTGGCATGATTTTCTGAAAATGCTTTTAATGGAAAACTTTTCCGTTAAAAGCATTTTCAGAAAAGCACGTCTAGATTGGCAGGATGCTTTTCTGCAAAAGCACTTTTTGCGGAAAAGCGTCCGTGCCAATCTAGACACGGTTTTCTGCAAAAAAGCCCCAATCGCCATTTTTGCCATCGGGGCTGTTTTGCAGAAAACAGTACTGTGCTGTTTACATGGCCCTTTTGCGCAAAAGTCTTTCGGAAAAAGACTTTTGCCCAAATGGGAGCAGCATAGTATTTCCGGAAAAGCACTGACGATCTTTCATGAGATCGTCAGTGCTTTTCTGGAAATTCAAGCGGCCAGTGTAGACAGCTGGCAAGTTTTTCCGCAAAAGCAGATGATTTTGCGGAAAAATTTGCCAGTCTAGACACAGCCCGTATGTATATAATAATACACATACCCACATAGGGATCCATAGAAACCCTGCATCTTCTGCAGTATTCCGGGAGCTATACAATATTCTGTGAACATGAAAACAGTAAAAACAAACAAACAATACAAAAAAGTGTTCATTGTGGGGAAATGGCACCTAAACTAAATCTGGCGATCTATTGAGCCTTCACTGTTGTAGCTGATAAAGACAGGCCTGCCGATGGGGGGAATAGAGAAGAAAAAGAGGGCAGTTGCCCTACGGCCCAGCAAATCAAATGTAACAAATTGAATATGTTGGGCCAGGTTTGTCCCTGATATCATTAGGGATTTTTATTTTATTATTCTGCCATCAGTGGAGCCCCAGGCCCTTTAAATCATCTGCAGAGGCCCACGCCATGCGCTCTGGGCAGTGCTAAAGGCTGTGGGGACATTGCACTCTGGACAATGCTGAGAGCTGCCTGAGGGCTGGCGCAGTACCTTCCGAGTGGTGCTCGCGTGCATGCGCGCGCGCACACACACACACACACACACACACACACACACACACAATGCCCAGGAGCTCACGGAGACTGTCAGCGCCCCTGGCTATAGCTAAGAACATAGGAATGGCCAGACCGGGTAAGACCAACAGACCATCCAGCCCAGTTTCCTGTCTGCTGACAGTGCCAATGCCAGATGCCCCAGAGGCAGGGAACACAACAGGGAATCCTCACATGATCCCTTCCATGTCACCCACCTCCACAGAAACAGAAACAGAAACTAGGGACCATTCCTATCCATCCTGGCTAATAGCTATAGATGGAGCTACCCTCCATGAATCTATCTAGCTTTTTTTTAACACTCTTAAAGTCCTAGTCTTCACCACATCATCTGGCAATTTGCCATTTTGTTGCCCAATCACTTAGTTTGGTGAGATCTTTTTGAAGCTCTTCACAGTCTGCTTTGGTCTTAACTGTCTGGAGCAGTTTGGTATCATCTGCAAATTTTGCACCCTCACTATTTACTTCTGTCTCTAGATCATTTATAAATAAATTGAATAGGATTGGTCCCAGGACAGACCCTTGGGGGACCTCGCTAGATACCTGTCTCCATTCTGAAAACTTACCATTTATTCCTACCCTTTGTTTCCTGCCTTTTAACCAGTTATCAATCCATAAAAGGACCTTCCCTCTTATCCCATGATAACTTACTTTACTTAAGAGCCTTTGATGAGGGACCTTGTCAACGGCTTTCTGGAAATCTAAGTACAAGATCCTCTTGTTCACATGTTTGTTGACCCCCTCAAAGAACTCAAGCATGATTTCCCTTTACAGAAACCACATTGACTTGCTCCCCAAAAATTATGTTCATATATGTCTGACCATTTTATTCTTTAGTATAGTTTCAAATAATTTGCCCAGCTACGGATGTTAGACTTAGAACCATAAGCTAGAATCATAGAATCCTAGGTCTGGAAGAGACCTCAGGAGGTAACTGAGTTCAGCCCCCTACCCAAAGCAGGACCAATCTCAACTAAATCATCCCAGCCAGGGCTTTGTCAACCCAAGACTTAAACACCTCTAGGGATAGAGATTCCACCACCTCCATAAGGAACCCATTCTAATGCTTCAACACCCTCCTGGTGAAATAGTTTTTCCTAATATCCAACCTAGACTGTAATATGCTCCTTGTTCTGCCATCCGTCACTACTGAGAACAGCCTCTCTCCATTCTCTTAATTTGGCGTTGATATATCGAACCAGAATAATTTTTTTACAGAAACCATTCATTATTTTCTGTGCAACCCATTGTCTTTCTTGTTGATCCACTAATGTGGGTTCCTGTTCTTTAATCTATTTCAGAGGACTGCCACCACTTTTCTCTTCTGCAGACTAAATAAGCCCAAATCTCTTAGCCATTTCTCGTAGGTCATGTGCTCCAGCCCCCTAATCATTTTGGTTACCCTCTATTGGACCCTCTCCAATGCATCCACATATTTTCTATAGTGAGGGGCCCAGAACTGGACACAATACTCCAGATGTGGCTACACCAGTGCAGAATAAAGGGGAATAATCACTTCTCTAGATCTGCTGACAGTATTCCTCCTAATGCACCCTAATCTGCCATTAGCATTCTTGGCTACAAGGACAAACTATTGACTCATATCCAGCTTCTCATCCACTGTAATCCCCAGGTCCTTTTCTACTGAACTGATACCTACGCAGTTGGTCCCCGGCCTGTAACAATACTTAGGATTCTTCAGTCCCAAATGCAGGACTCTACATTTGTCCTTGTTTAACCTCATCAGATTTCTTTTGGCCCAATCCTCTAATCTGTCTGAGTCACTCTGTACCCTATCCCTGCCCTCCAACGTACCTACCTGTTCCCCTAGCTGAGTGTCATCCACAAATTTGCTGAGAGTGCAACCTCATCCCCTCATCCAGGTCATTAAAAAGATTTTGAACAAACATCCCTAGAATGTTGGTTTCACTCTGCTTGAAACCAACTCACCAACCTGATGTCGGGCCATTGATCACTACCCGTTGGGCCCAACAATGTAGCCAGCTTTCTAACCACCTTACAGTCCATCATCCAATCCATATTTGCTTAACTTGCTGGCAAGAATATTGTGGAAGACCATATCAAAAGTTTTGCTGAAGTCAAGGGTATATCACATCCACTGATGTTCCCTTATCCACAGAGCTAGTTACCTCATTATAGAAGCTAATGAGATTGTTCAGGCATTACTTGCCCTTGGTGAATCCATGTTGTTTATTCCTGATCACATTCCCCTCTTCCAAGTGCTTCAAAATGGATTCCTTGAGGATCTGCTCCATGATTTTTCTGGGGACTGATGTAAGGCTGACTGGTCTGTAGTTCCCTCAACTATTGTTCTTCCTTTTTAAAAAATGGCATTTTCCCAATCCTCCAGGATCTCTCCCAATACTCACGGGTTTTCAAAAATAATGGCCAAAGGCTCTGCAATGACATTGGCCAACTCCCTCAGTATTCTCGGATGCATTAAATCCAGATCCATGGATTTGTGTATGTCTAGCTTTTCTAAATAGTTCTTAACCTGTTCTTTCTCCACTGAGGGCTACCCACCTCCTTCCCATACTGCGTTGTCTGCTGCAGTAGACAGGGAGCTGAACTGGTCTGTGAACATGGAGGCAACAAAACCTATTACTAGGTTACCTTCCTCATTCAGTAAGGGCCCCGCACTCTGTCTGATCACCCTCTTATTGCTAACATGCCTATAGAACTGTGGTCCCCAACACGGTGCCCGTGGGCGCCATGGCACCCGCGGGGGCATTTGTATGCACCCGCCAAGTGCTCGGGGCTGGCCTGGCCCCAGGCACATGGCACACGGTGAGCGCCAGCCCCGGGAGCGCTGCGGATTGGCCGACCGCGCTCTGGGCGTGGGGCGCTTGCAGGGGGCGCCGGCCCGGGCCGCGCGGTGGATTGTCCTCCTTCCCTTTTTAAAAGATGGACACCACATCTGCCTTTTTCCGATCTCTCCCGATCTCCACAAGTTTTCAAAGATAATGGCCAAAGCCTCTGCAATGACATTTGCCAACTCCCTCAGTACCCTCAGATGCATTAAATCCGGACCCATGGATTTGTGTGTGTCTAGCTTTTCTGAATAGTTCTTAACCTGTTATTTCTCCATTGAGGGCTGCCCACCTTCTTCCCATACTGCATTGCTTAGTGCAGTAGTGTGGGAGTTGACCTTGTCTGTGAAGACAGAGGCAAAAAAAGCATTGAGTACTTCAGCTTTCCCCACATCATCTGTCACTAGGTTGCCTCCCTCATCCAGTAAGGGCCCGACACCCTCCCTGATCACCCTCTTATTGCTACCATGCCTGGAGAAACCTTTCTTGTTCTCCTTCACATCCCTCACTAGCTGCAATTCCAGTTGTGCTTTCACCTTCCTGATTACTCCCCTGCATTCTTGAGCAATATATACTCTTCCCTAATCATCTGTTCAAGTTTCCATTTCTTATAAGTTTCCTTTTTGTGTTTAAGCTCACCAAGGTTTTCCCCGGTAAGCCAATGTGGTGTCCTACCATATTTGCTTTTCT